ATATATCTAAATTTGGGCCAAAATTCTTAATTGAAGTCGCGAAATATACATTAGCTTGCTGCAAATCGAATCTGAGGCACTTTAGCCAAAAGTTAAAGCCACTGTCGTTGGGCTCAAATAATTTATATAAGGCAGCATACGCATTTGGAGCCTGATGAAAAATGCAGGCTTTAGATATTTATGCAATGGCAATTGCTCATACATAAATGGCAAGCCTCGCATACAGATAATTCACAGCTGAGCCAAGGCAAGGGCCACGCCAAAGCAGGAAGGCAGCTCAAAGAACAAACATGCCAGGGGCAAGGACAAAAGTCAAAGCAGTTGCCGGGCGGCTCTCTGAGGTGTTGTCAACAGGAAAAGCTTCAAATCAGCAAAAAAAAAAAGAAAAATGAAAGAGAAATGAAAGGCAAACAATTGTCTTTGGTGTGCCGAATTTCAAATACACTCGCCGACTTAAGACTCAAATGGATGCCGTCATTTATATGTATATAAATATTACCCAGCGTTGCCTGGGCCAAGTTTTATTCTCTTCAACTTTTAGTAATTTCTTTTCTAGCCCGAAAGTGCGAAGGTTGCTAACAAAAGAGATTTAATACCAATATTTTCGCGAATTTTCCACTTTAGCGTGTGGAATTTTTTCAAAAATCACCCCGCCGTTCTCCACTTGCCAGTCAGGGCTGGCAGCTTTATGCATTGACATACATATATTTATTTATCAAAGTTGGAAATCTTAAATATGTTTATATATATGGCATAATATCATATATAGATGTCACTGTTTTTCATTCAGGATTCGTTCAACTCATTTTTCCAAATGCCTGAACCCAGTTTTTTAGTTTATTCTTCGACTTGTCATAAAATTGTTTAAATTTTAAAATGGAAAAATAATCGGCTGATATATATAAAACGTGGATAAATAATAAATAAATCGGATCTTAAATCACAAAATAAAATCGAGATATTTTCTCATAACTTATGAAATTATATATGAATACCCTGTGTAAGGGTATGAAGTCGAGGAAAGAAAAGCAAAGCAAGTATGTTTGGTGTGTTACGAGGGCGGACAGGGGTGGGGGGTGGGTGAGAGGGTGGGTAAAGGCAAGCAACTACACATTTAGTGTTTATTTCGCATTTATTGAGGACAGTCGGGGCGGACTTGTGTGTGGGGATTTGGACCTTTGCAATAGAATGAAATCAGCACGAAATAAATATCCTTGTCGCATATACTCGCTGAACAGGCTGTCATAGCTCCCACCACACACACACACACACACACACACACACACAATATAGGAGTATAAATTGTTTCCAGGTCATTGGTTAGCCAGCCACAGAAATACGAAAATGAAATTAAGTACAAAATGAACTAAACCCCAAAAATCATATGACATTGATGATTATGATGAAAACGACAATGGAGACGACGGCGTCGTCGATGCCATATCCCAGACCAAGAAGCCAGTCGACAAAATGCTCCTCGCATCAATGATTGTGTAAAGGAGCCAGACATGTTGTCAAAGGGGCCTGCCAGCTCGTCTGCGGATTGGCCACATTAAAATAAAAGTCAAATTGTTTGGCCTTTTGTGACTGTGTTGGTCTCCATTGATGCGTGCAGTTTTAATGGTCAAAACATTTCGACAATTATAAATTGGGCACAGTTTTGAACATGCTCTTCGGCTCAATTTGATAGGGTATAAAATAAATTGCTGGAATTAATTGAGAAAATCATATTTATGTATGCAAAGAAAAGCTAAGGATTTAAAAATGAAACCATAAATGAGACAGTAGGGCAAGCCGAAGATTTAATACCCTTGCAGACCTAACTATTTATTATTGCCAAGTTTGGTCGAGATATTTTGAAAACACAAACAAGTAAGAGGTTCTAGTCGGGAGCTTCCGACTAGGCGATAACCTGAACCCTCTTCTTCCAACACCAAATGCAAATATATATACTATTCTAGAAGGATTTCTATATCGATTTTTATCGATTACTTGGAAACGGGGCAAGTTATCGAATATCGGAAACAAGTCTCTCAAGTTTCAAGTCTATAGCTCTTATAGGTTCTGAAATCCTTGCGTTCATACATACGGACGGACGGACATGGCTAGATCGACTAGGCTATTGCTGCTGATCAAGAATATATATACTTTGTGGGGTCGGAGATGTCTGCTTCTATGCGTTACACATTTCACGACAAAATTATAATACCCCCTGCAAGGGTATAAAAATGTCGAGTTTGGCAAAAACCTATCGTTCCTATGGCATCTATATGATATAGTCTGCCGATCCACCCAGTTCCGACATATGTATTACAGCAGATAGAGGGACGTATGCAAAGTTTCATAACGATAGCTTTAAAACTGAAAAACTAGTTTATATAGAGACAGCCAGACGGACAGACGAAAATGGCTAAATCGACTCGGTTTGTGTTGCTGATCAGGAATATATATATATATTTTATAAGGTGGGAGATGCTTCATTCTGCCTGTTACATACACTTGCACAAAACTATTACACAATTTGTATCCATTTTCAATGAGTTCATTTTTATACCCTTGCAGAGGGTACTATAATTTTGTCGTGAAATTTTGTCGCAGCAGACATCTCCGACCCCATAAAGTATATATATTCTTGATCAGTATCAATAGCCGAGTTGATATAGCCCTGTCCGTCTGTCCGTCTGTCTGTTTATATGCGAACTAGTCTCTCAGTTTTAAAGCTATCTTAATGAAATTTTGCAGAAGTCCCTCTTTCTGTTGCACGCAGCACATATGTGAAAACCAGCTGGATCGCACCACTATATCATATAGCTGCCATAGGAACGATCGGTCGAAAATTAAGTTTTTGTATGAAAAAACATTTTGTTTTTCAAGATATCTTGCCCAAACTCGGCATTAACTATTTTCCCTGTGATTCTTAGATACGGGCAAAGCACTATAAGCATTATGAAAAGGTTGGGTCTGCAAGGGTATTAGATCTTCGGCGTGCGGAAGATGGCACTTCTTTCTCTTTTTCATTTCTGTTGTTTTACAATTTAAAATATTGCTGCAAAATTACTCGAAATATTAAATCTAGTTTCGATAAGAATATGTCAAATTTATAATATATTCATTGGCTCTTTTAAAAATAGTTCAAATTGTTAAGTTCACACGAAGTCCTGGGTTCAAAGATATGAAATACCAGTCTCAGGAACATAATTATGAGTTATTGTTTTTATGATTTGCAGAGTTAAGCTCATTTCTAATGAATACTAAATACTTAAACCAAGCACAATTGATTCGATTTCAACAGATATAACTAAACAGGCCACATTTAATATATGTGTTAAGGGCAAATACTCTTATGTTATTGCCCAATCAAGAACATGTTATAGAAATGATGTTGCCAAATATTAGGTAAATACACCTTTTGATGTTGTATTTTTTGAAAAGTTGGCTTTTGCTGTTTAATCTCTCTCTCGGCGTGGAGTAAGATAAGTAATGCCCGTTAATACGTATTTATTTATGTTGCCCAAAATTTGAATAAAGCGTTTCGCTCTTAATATACCCATTTCGCTAAGCACTTTGTCAGGGCTCTGGCGGAGAAGGTCGCTTGCCGAGTTGGGGGAAATTCAACTGCTTCCGTTGGTGCTTAACGCAACAGCGCTTAGAATACAAAACCCACGACCCAAGCCCACTCTCACCCTCGTTCCCGTTCTCACCCTACAGCACATTTACTTTTATTTCAGCATTAAAAGTTCAGTCGAGTGGCAAAGGAAGTGAAAACAATTATCTGCAGGAAGGTGAAACATAAATCCTCGCATCCAAAAGTAAATTGCAAATTTTCGTTTATTACTTATTCTATGTGTACCGAATGCCAGGCACCCAGCCACAGCCACAAGATTTGTGTGGTTAAATCGAATCGATATATTTTATGTTATCGAATTTATTATGCAAACACACTCAACGCTAATGCCAATTGGTGTTGAGTTGCCAAAAATGACACACGCGCCCAAAACAGCCTCACCCACACAGCCCCGCCCCTGGCCAGGTGCATGCTTTGGGCATGCGATCCAAGAGCTGGATTCCAGCTGGCTGACAGGCATCAACTTGAGAAATTGGAATTGTATAAACAAGCAATTCGAGGATTCTTGCTTGGGCACATTTATGCTGCGCTCTGTTTAGCATTAAGTGCGATTATGGCTGTTGGTATTGATGATGTTTATGGCTTCTGGCTCATTTATCAAATTAAATGGGGACAAAATGCTTTCATCTTCTGCATACAATTGGCCATATTAGCCATAAAGAGCCAACAGAATTGCCAAAGGTAATAACAATTCGAAAATGTTAATTAATTTCGCATTCAGCAAATGAAACGATGGCAATAGCACATGGAATTAAACGAACAACTGTTTATATTCAAGGTAAACACTAAAGAACTACAGTTTGTTATGCGAGACACCTTGCCCAGGATCAGTATAAACGTTAAATGTTTATTATAACAATAAATAATGGCAATGGAACAGAACAATAAATAAGAAACGGTTTTGTATTTAGCTATAACAACTAGATGGACACGACTATAGGAATAAAATGTTAATTCATTTCAAATTGAAACGGTGAGAATGGAACAGAAAAGGATACAAATGCTGGTTTAGCTTAACTTTATTTATTTCGTATTGAAACGATGGAAAAGGAACAGAAAAATAGATTATAAACTGTTTTGCATTAACTCTAAGGTTCAAGAACCATATCTTAGAATACAAGTATACGGCTACGAGTTTACGGATAACAGCTTGAAACGGTGAGAATGGAACCGTAAAATAAACGAATGCTGATTAGTACTTGTATCAAGTAGTCACGATCTGGCTATCATAAGAGATTTTGTAAGGATTGAAACGATGGGAATGGCACAAAATATTTGTACCGGAACCAAGAAACTATTATCTTGGGGTAGAAGAAACCCTGGAAATGATGAAACAACAACGGCAATAGAACAGAAAATAATTGGGAAAATGTTTTGTGTAAAGCTTTAATATTGAAGAACTACAACTTGGTGTACAAATAGATGGCCACAATCAGGCCGTATAGGCCCAGCACCTCGGAAAAGATCAGTATAAGGATCATGCCCACAAATAGACGCGGCTGCTGAGCTGTTGCACGCACACAGGAATCTCCAACAATGCCAATGGCCAGGCCCGCCGCGAGACCGGCCAGGCCGACGGTTAGTCCAGCGCCCAAATGGATGTGAGCCTTTTGTATGGTATATTTCTGGTCTATGGCGCCGGATATAAGCACTGCCACAACTAGTCCATAGATTGCTATAATGCCAGCCATGACCACAGGTATGATGGATTTCATGATTAGTTCTGGCTTGGTTATGGCCATGGTGGCAATGCCCGCGCCCGACATTGCCGTGCCATATGAGGCACCCAATGTTGAAAATATGATGGAAAATGCAGCTCCCAAGCCGCCGCACAACACAGCATAGGTGGGCTTATCGTTTTCACCTAAGGCGGTTGACATGCTCGTTCGATTTTCTAGGAATTTTCTGGGTTTTACAGATTTTTCATATTTTCAAAGTTTTTGGAATCGTTAACGTTGTCAAATGAAATGCAGGAAAAACAGCATTGAACGAAATAAATTCGGTTCTATAGACGTGCTTATCCAAGCCCTCTTAGATAATCCTTATTTGACTACATAGCTGAGAGTGCAACCAGTCAAGTGCAAATAATTTGTATACCGCCGGGGAGTAGAGAGTGTAGGGAATTTTGAAGATATTGACGAACCCACGAAGTATATTTACGCTTCATCAGTATTCCGATGCGATTTAGCCACGCCCAGTTTTAAAGCTGTCGTCATATAAGTTTTCATAGGTTTAGCTTTTTGCCGCAGGTATCGGACTATAGCATATAGCTGCCATAGATCGTAATCGGTCGTAATATAAGTTTTTCTATGGATAACTTTTCAGGCTCAAGCCAACTGTTCCAAAATATGCAAATATGGGCTTTGCTCTTCTGCTAAGTCGAAACAAACTATAAGCGTATTTAAACTTCGGCGTGCCATTAGCCGCACTTTCTATACAGTTTTCAATGTGTGTGTGTTTTTTTTATGATAATTCTAATATTTATGCGCGAGCTGATATACCCCGAATAGATGATAACACAAAGCGTTAAATGTATGTCTATTATAATATGCAAGTTTTTTTTTCAACCTCTTGTTGCTGCTCGGCTGCTAACGAGGTTTATCTTTATGTGCCGTTAAATTTTCCGGCTACCCATATATATACTTTCAGCAAAAACTGTGGAAAATTTATGGCGAAAATCGTGTTAGCGGTTGGGTAAGCTCTACTCCAACCGCCGCCGAGTAAGCAAACCGCAAAGCGAATTCTGGCTATTGAAAATCGAAGCTGCGGTTTTTCTATTTTTTTTTTTGCGTTCTATGTTGTCGCTGCTCTTCTTTTTTTGCATGCTTTGAATGCTTTCAGCATTTCTTTGCTTTTCCGCACTTGTTTCAATTAAACAAATTGGAATATATGAACCCTAGTCGAGGGCTGTGGCGTGTGGATCTCCTCCAACCCGAGTGCTGGGCGTGAGCTTCAAATGCGCAGCGACAATTTTCTTTGCACAAAACAAAATGGAAATTTGTTTCTGGCACCACTGGGAGCAGGCAATGGGGGCGGTGGTTTTTCACTTGCCACTTGCCTCTAGCATGGCATGACAACGACAACAACTGCTCAATCCCTGCACAGAGCATGGTCTGATATAGCAGCTTCATGACATTTTTATTTGTGTGCCCCGTGCCCGGGAATGTTTTGCATTTTGAATATTTTGCGGGCTGAATACCACAGAGGGGGCTTACTGGGGGTTTTATTACATGGGTTCGCTTCTGTTTTGGTGCTGCTCGCGTCAGATGTGATTGTTAAGTTGTCACAAGGTGCCACAGATTCGTTGCGCCTGGGAATTTATGCGTAAGGTCACCCTCGGGCTGGTTTCTAGTCGCAATGAATGCTCAAACACTTAAAGAGTTAGCTCTTTTTGTAATTGCCACATCATATTTAATACAACGCAAATTATTTGGTGTACAAATAGATGGCCACAATTAGGCCGTACAGGCCCAGCACCTCGGCAAAGATCAGTATTAGGATCATGCCAACGAATAGACGCGGCTGCTGGGCTGTTCCACGTACACCGGCATCGCCAACAATGCCAATGGCAAAGCCCGCCGACAGTCCGGCAAAGCCCACAGATAAGCCGGCAGCCAGATGAATGTAACCCTTCCGTATGGTATATTCGGGTGACAGCGAGCCGGCAATTAGCACCGAGACGACCAGGCCATAGATGGCTATAATGCCAGCCATGACAACGGGTATGATGGACTTCATGATTAGCTCCGGCCGCATCACAGCCATGGCGGCGATGCCCGTGCCGGACTTCGCGGTGCCATATGCTGCGCCCAGGGATGAGAATATGATGGCCGATGCGGCGCCCATGCCACCAAAGAAAAATGCATATGGTGGCTTATCGTCCTCGTTCTCAGTTTGTTCAGGCATTTCTCTTCACTTTTCGCCTTTGGTTGTTGTTATCTTAGTCCTGCTGCGGCTGATTTCTTCTTCAAATTTAATATTCAGTTATTAGTTTAAAGAATTTCGGAGCCGCATTTACATAACTCTTGATTGAACGCTTTATTCTCTCGGCCTGCTTAGTCCGTTTTTATTTTTGATAGTTCAAAGGATTTTGCATCGATATTGATTTCTGCTATCGATATCGATAAATATCGATTTCAATACATGGTTCTGTTGAGCGCAACTCGTAAATTATAATAGTCAGCTTTACCCTTATTGGCATGGTTTGATGTTTATTTGCATTTATAAATGTCTCCTCTGTCATTCATTCACTCTATTTTTAAATGAAGAGCCTTCTGCTTTGGTTTAAACATCGAGTTGGTTGCCAGCTTTGGTTCAAAATTAATTAAACATCGACATTCTAGTTCTCTTTAGAACTCCTCAACCTACTGACAGTAGAATTTCAACTTTTAAAGTTTCAACAAGTCCGACGAGTTGTTGTACACGACTTTGCCAATGTTTTAAACATTTCACTCTCCCATTTATCGGCTTGGAACATTTCGAATCGTAAAACTGCAATAAAGTCTATTATTTTTATAGTTTTTTTTTTGTAGTTCTGCTTTAGACAATAATAAGCAAATCAATATCTTGTTTTGTTGATCCATTGGGCAGCCCTCGCGCAATTCAGCCAGTTGGTGCCAAGATATTCCATTAAAGATTTATGTTGCGCTGGGATTTGGTAGCAAGGAAAACTTGTTTCGTTCCCAGCTTCAGTTCCCCTGTTCCTAGTGCTGGTTGGCATTGTTGTTGCTACTGTTGCGTTTTGTGCCGTTTGTGCAACTATAAATCGTTTATGTATTTTGTTGAGTGCGAGGATTTATCGCTGGAGCTGAATATGAGAAAGGAATCACATAAATACAAATAAATCAAAAGCATTTCGAATGGCATTGGCAATACAAACAAGAATTGAAGAGATAGAGAAATATATATATACAAAAAAAAAAAAGAAGAATATGTGGCCGCTGTAGTAGTTGCTGCCGCTAGGCAAACTGTGCGAAAATTGATGTCTTTGCTCATAAAAATAAGGCATCAAAAGAATCGGCTATGGCCAGGCCCAGGCGCAGGCACAGGCACAGGCACAGGCTGAATGTGTTTTTGTTGAAAGCAACATTGTAAATTTTATGACTTTTTTATGCGTTGAAATCTATAAATTATGTAAACTGACACTGACAGCTGTCAACTGGCAGGCTCTGAGCGCAACGCTGAAACCGAAACGCTGGCAAGTGACACATGTGTCAAATGGGCTGATGGCAGCGCCTGCGAATTCGCCATGCCAGGGCCCAGCAGCACCCCAGCAGCACCCCAGAACAATTGGAATATACCCTACCCCAAGCCCTCGCCTCAAGCTCAAAACTCTGCGACAGAGCGAAAGCAACTGATGACTCGAGATGATTAAATGATTGCCAGCAGCAATAAAAAATTGATGCTTCAAATTATTGCTTATATATATTTTATACATCTTTTTTTTTCTTTTTTTTGTTCATAAGCTCCCATTAGAAAAACAGCTGAGTTCATGCGATTTGCGTTGCGTCCTTTTATTGCATTCCAACTTCTGTCATTAGTTCTAAAGATAATTTCTAGTTCTTCAAGTTAAGAAGCGTTCTAATGTGCTTTATAAGTACATACTAAAATGTTGCCATTTTCCGAGTTGAGAAATTAGCTTTTCATTAGGCATTAGGCATTAGAAATATGCTACTAAAACATTGAACTATTAGACTTAGATGTTGTCTTTTTTTTTAGCTTGTTTCATTTTGGCTTAGTACAACAGTCTTTTTGCTTGCTTGACGAAATTTAAAAACCAAGTCGAAATCTCGAACCGAAACATTTATATTTTTTAATTATAATTATTTAATTTTAATTAATGCATAAAAGACTTGAGTTCCTGACATGGCTTTTATGTATCCATATTTGGTAGATGCCAACATTTTAAAAGTGAATATATTTTTTTTTAATTAACGAGAAGAAAATTAATGCCAACAATTTAATACCCTTATAGACATTTGCCTTCCTTTTCTGCAGATATGTTAGAATAGTGAAGCTCGTAAATGCTGAGTTTGATGAAAATTTCTTTGAAAACAGATTATTTTGCCATTTTTTTAATTATTTATTTTTATTTATTTTTCGTTCGATTCATCCTAAAATGCTATATAATATAGTGTGCGACATTGGAAAGATTTCGCCCATATGTAAGTTTTATTGTTTAATGATCTCTGTTGGGCTTGTTCAAGATATCTTGATAAACAAACAAGTTTTTCGTACGAAAACTTAATTTTCAAGTGATTGTTCATGTGGCAAGTATATGATTGTGGTCCGTTTTTGATATATGAGAAGCATATTGAAACTAAAAAATCCCGAGCTAGGCCAAAATATCTTGTTACAAAAAAAAAAACTGTCTATAAAAGAAACTAATTTTCGACCGATCGTTCATATTGCAGCTTTATGATATAGTGGTCTGATCAAGTCGGTTCCGATATCTGTCCCGCCTGCAACAGAAAGACGCACGTTTTGGAACGAGAAGTTTTCAAACAGACGGATAGACGGATTATAATAACTCGGGTGTTGATGCTGATCTAGAATATATATACTCTATGGGCTCGGAGATGTCTCCTTCTATGCGTTACACATTATATGAACAAATTATGATACCATCTAGAAAGTGTATAAAATTATATGGTTTCGTATATATTTTCAAAGTAACTAAGTCCTGGGCTCATTGATGTGGGCCATATTAAAAGGCATGCAGTTGATTCGAGCCGTATCTTATATGGTTCGCTGTGCTGTTTTCTATATGAAATTATATTTTGAGATTTTTGGCACTTGGCGTCGCTCAATTTACGAAATAGATCCTATTTCTTTTATAACCAGAAATTCAGGTTAACGTCAGTTTCTGAACCCCCTTGACCTGTTTACTACACAGTTTTCACGTGTTGCCATTAACCTTTCCGTTTTATAAATTGCCTTATAGTGCGTTCCCTGCCAAAATGCAATAAATGCTGGCATGGGTTGGATATGGTACGGGTATATGGTATGGTATGCGGGTACACCAAGTGGCGGGCACTAAAATAACAAACGAAGGAAATTAACCAAAAATAAATTAACTGGAAAACCCGGCCAAAAGGGGTTTTCATTTACGCTTTGCTGCTGGCATCTGCAAAGGATGGGGCGGGGGCGTCAACTGTCGCCGACTGCGACTGCGACCGCGACCGCGACTGCGACGCTGACTTTGTGTGTGACTTTGGGATTCCCAAATGTGCTTTCGACATGCAATTTTTATTATTGACTCGCGTTGTCGTGTCAGCGCGCAGCTTTTCAGCATTTTCCGCTCGACGAGTCGCAAAAATGCCATTACTGTCAATCAGGAGACGGCAAAAAATCCTGGAATGAAATCAAAAGCATTAAAGCCCTGCTCGCAAGTATGAATGTGTTTATATACAAATAACTATATACAAAAAATGTGAAACTAAGAGATACCCTGGACAATAAGCGTAAATAACTAAGACAAAGATTTGATGAAATAATATATTTAAAGCTGGAATTTATTCGAACTACAAACTTATATTAAATGCAAGTTTCTTATATGAAAAATATTTATATATATATACATATGTATTAATTTTTCTTAAGAAAATGTTGCTGGGCGTGGCAAAACAGGCAAGAGCAAGTCTTTTTCTTTTTATTATTTATTTTTTGCTAACTTGATTAAAGAAGAAGCCGAGAAACAGTTCTGGCGCAGGATAAGTTATGTAAGTTTATGATGACAGTTGCAAGTTGCAGGTCCCAGACTAATGCAACTCCCCTCCCCCTCGCCACAACAAGCTGCGCCATAAAACCTTGGGGGTGTTGACCACTCAGGTGACAATAATTTCGCGCCATCGCGGCACAAAGGTGGAAGAGCATTAAAACGGGCGAACAGTTTGCGTGTCACGCAACCATTGCCACAATAGAGTGAGGTCTGGAAATTGAAAATTGTCAGAAATGAGCCCAAACAGGCCGAAGAGTGATTGCCAACATGCATCGCATATATTGGCGTGCCAAACTCAACGATTTAGCTAGTACATAAGTATATTAAGTTTTCTTGTTTATTATTTTCTTTAGTTTTTGTTGTTGTTGTTTTGTTTTTGGGCGTAGCGCTTGTTGATATTGGTCAAAGTTTGAGTCAGACGCTTGCGCTGATATATCTTTTATTATGTAGTTTTGTGTCATCGTAAAATCGTCGGCTATTACTTGATTGTCCTTCATGAAGGCCATAAAGTTGCTGCTGACAGCCCCCTTTGCCCTCCCCTTTTTAAGAAGCGGGCCTACGGGTGCCATTGTAAAATGATTTACTCGCCTCTCGCCTCGCTTCTCACTCATTTGTGGCGTATGAAGCGTTTTGGGCTTCTGCTCCATCTACACCAAAAGACTACTCATTTTTTATGGCTCCGCTTTTTTTTTTACGGTCTTTTACAGTTTAACGACGCATTACTGACACACACACACACACACAAACAGACTGGGGCAACCGGCTACGAGAAATCTATTCATGATTTCGTATAACAAAATACTCTTCACATTTTATCGTATTCATTCTACTCGGTCTTGTCTATTAGGCCTTTGCTTTTTTGGTTTTTCCGTTTCTTTGGGTTTCGCTTTTTAATTTTTGGGCGTAGCAATTTTCTCGGCATTTTTATGATATGCCATTTCGTCATTCCCATTGTATACCCTATATATATATATATCGCGCTTTAATTTCGTACTCTGGTTATTTTTGCTGACGGCTTCGTTATTTTTTCACAGCCCAGCATTAAGTAATTTATACAGGCCGTATATTGAAACAATTTCGGCCTAATGGACGTCTTAAAAATGCATTAGATTAATGAAACTGGATTTGTTTCGTTGCGCCTGTCGTATGTCGGTGTACATTGAAATCAGGTTCCTGCTGGGCTCATGATTTCATGTCAACTAACAAATAAAACTTAATATGCACTTTTATACGCAGATAATTGAAAGCTAATTGCATTATTATAAAAAGTGTACAAAACGTCTCATTTTATTGGCATTCATTTTGGGTTTAGTTCTTTCATACTGAGAATTCTTTGATAGAGTAGTCCGAAGATTTGTAAGGGGAATTGTAGATATGTGTATCGTTCCTTTAGCTATACTATATAGCATTGTTATCCAATCCATATGCACTTTCTGCAACAGGTCCTTGTATTTCATGACCTCGCTGTTGAACAGAATAAATACACTTTAAAAAGTCAGAGACATCTTCTTATACTAGTTTATAAAATATAAGAAGTCATTTCTGACTCTCTTTAATTAAATGTATAGCTTTTCTTAGATTCAATTTGTGTGAATGTTTATTAGGATTCAGCTACTGTAAAATAATGTCCATACCTGAGCCCTAATTTCGAGACTGAGCCCCGACAGCGATGAGCATTTGACAAGAGCAAATAAGTCAGCTACTTTATGGGCTACCGGATTAGGGACTTTGGTCTACGAAATGCACAGGTGGCCAACTCAGCATGGGTTTGGTGCGCTAGAAATGTCCTGTCCTTATCACACGGCTTGTCAACATAACTCGAACGGCGAAGCGTGAAGTTGTTGACATTGATTAGGGTGAACTCTGAACTCACCGCCGCCGACGCTTGCAACTTGTCCTGAAAGCGTTAAGATAGGTCAAAACCAAGAAACATATATTCTTGTTGAATTATTGCTGCACATTTCTTGGCGATAAGCCGTCGAAATAAACCAACGACCCTTCATCCCTCATGACTTACCCCCGCTGCTGTTTGCCGTTTTTTTTTTTTTGTGTTATTCGGTTTTACATTAAATGCCGTGTCATGGTAGCTGCCCGCTTCTCTGGCCGACGGACACACACATTAGATAAATTAGCCGTAATTATAGGAAAGTTAGCGTAGGGTATTTCACATTTATCAATGCCTTGGTAACAGTGAGGTGAGTTTTTGGCGTGTCATCAATGGTTTTTGGCAAGATATTCTATTCGAATTTATTGCATCTTTTTCAGATTTATTCAGATATATACATATATATATGTATGAAGACTGCAACACCAAGTTTAATTGGACCAAGTGTAATTATATACAAAATTAAAGGCATCTTCAAAGATTCCATTCCATTTTCGTGTATTCATTTTTAGGCAATGTCGTATTTTGTC